CTGCGGCTGGGCCTGGCGGGTGCCTTGCCCTGCCACCCAAAAGGAGCCCTTTGCGGGGCAGTACCCACACAGGGCTCTGGGGACAGGGAGCTACAAGTCCTCTGGGGCTCGTGCCAGAGGAGGGAGATCTGTGGGGTCCAGGGCCAGGCCCCACCGAGGGCATCTGCACTGCAGGGACAATGGGGTGGCCTCACGCAGGCGCTGTCTGCGTGCAAGTGTCTTAGAGCCGATGTCAGGGCAAAGGATGTGTCAGGCCAGGGCCACTGCTGTGCAGAGGGGACTGGGAGAGTGGCCCAGGACAAGTCCCACTGGGCCAGGTCTCCGCTGAGAGCAGGGGACGGGGCGGAGGTGCCATCAGCCTGCTCCCAGGCAGCATTTCCCATCACGCTGCAGTGCTGGGTCCCAGGCCCAGCTGCCAGGGTTGAGGGGCACCGGGCACTGCAACCGTGTCTCCACCGGCCCGGTGGTGCCCCTCAGGCCCCAGGCTGCAGTGCAGAGCCGCGCAGGGCCCCGTGGCTTGGCGGGGAGCCCAGGGGTCCCTGCCCATGAGCCATGGAGGCTCTGTGTCAGCTTTGCCCCGTGGCCCCCCCCTTCTCACTTCGCCCTGGCCCTGCCGCCCTGGCACGGCTGGCCAGGGGAGGCCAGGAGGGACACGGTCTGGGCTGCAGTAGCTCTGGCAGGGTCAGATGCTCTGCCAGCCCAGGGCTGGCTGCGAGATCCCCAGGGAGAGCCCCTCTGGGCAGGCTGCTGGCTAGGAGGCAGAGGGCCCGGCGAGCTGCTGGCATGGGCGTGTGCTGCCGAGGGGGCAGGCAGGGGCAGTGGGGGAGCCCCATGCCCTCTCTGTTCCCTGGTGCAGTGGCTGGAGCAGCAGGTGGCAAAGCTCAGGACCAAGCGAGACATTTTCATGGAGCCCACGGACCCCAAGTTCCCGCAGCAGTGGTACCTGGTGAGTGCCGGGCGGGGGCTGCATGCTGCTGGGCGAGGAGGGGAGCTGCGCAGTCGCTTTCCCTCCTGGGAGGTTTCTGGGCTGCTGTTCCTGGGGGGTGTGTGCCGCTGGGACAGGATGCGGCAGCCAGCCTGGAAGGGGGGGGGACCGGGTGCTTCTGGCACTGCCCCAGTGAGAGGCCCCCAGGGTCCTTATCTGAGAGGATCCTGGCCTCAGCGTGGAGTCTGGACACTGTCCTCGAGGCGTGCTGTCCTGGCGTACTCCCTGCTCCACCGCTGCCTGTGGAGCCGGGGTGGGCAGGCAGTCCCCTCGCCAGCAGTGCCTGTGAACGGTGGAGCAGAACGGTGCCAGGACCCGCGTCTGATGCCAGTGGCCTTGAAGGAGACCCAAAGGACAGTGTCAGGAGGTCAGGGGTCAGAGGAGAGGGACGGATGCAGCAGAAAGGCGGGAGCGCAGTGGTTCACGCCGCTGGGGCTGGTGCAAAGGAGGGGGCACAGGCACTGCCTGCCCCAGCTGGGGATGGGGAGCACCAGGGGAAGGCCCAGCTGCTGGTGCCAGCCTTGGGCTGCACTGGCAGGACAATGGGGATGAGCAGCCCCAGCAGTACCAGCCCAGGGAGGAGTGCTCTTACCTCCCATACCTCTGGGCTGTGGGTCCCCACTAGCCCGTGCTGCCGCCCGGCACATCGCCCTGCTCCTGGGGACGCAGGCGGGAGGGTGGGCAGCCCGCTG